TCGGTCTCTGAAGTCTTTGTTTTTCAAAAGAAAGATTGAAGATTGTCTGGAACAATGATGCACGGTGTATAAAGGATTGTGCCTCGAGAAGTAGAGATATATCTTTGTAGTGGAGTGGGGGCAACGATCAATTGTGAGGCAGACCACTGTAAGATCCATATTATAAGAGTGGCGAAAGAGAGGCTCATATCTTTAACACAAAGGTTTTCGGACACATTGTGACTAATCGCGTTAGTCGAAGCTGTCGGTGGTTTCGAGCTTCCGACCATGTTTTCTGTCCATGTTCCAGAGTGAGTGTTTGGTCACGCCTTCGGCTTCTTCTTCGACGAGGAACTTCTGGAAATGAGGCTGCGAAATAGATAGCAGTCGATCTTAGTCGTGGCGTTCTTCTAAGAAATTTACTGGTTCTGGATATATATTAGAAGAATCACAGTGGTGGAAGTGAGGAATAGATTAAATTACTTCTTTGACATGTCTTGGACACCCTTAAAGCTATGTGCGTCATATATAATGTGTATAGTCACAAAAAGTGTGACTATTTGGGATTGTACTGCTTTTTTTACTTAGCTTTGAATATTAAGATGTTGTAGATGCCGTTTTTCTTATTGAATTCAACTAGGTAAAGAAAAACTCTTAGTTTTTATGCACTGTGTACGTTTATGTGTCTTTTTTTTAAGAAACGTATGTCGAGTACTGTGTCCTTAAATATTTGCAATAAATATCGGTTTTGTTACTGTATTTAACTGACACAACTTCTTTTTGTATTGGAACTTTGCACCTAGTTTTTATTCAATGACGAACACGTGAGTTTTTTAACTGCACTGTATATTTATTTCATTTTTTTGCGATTATTGGAAATTAGAAGGATACATTGAATAATGCGATATGCATTTGTTGTTTGTATTTACTGATATTTTGTGTATTAGAGAAAAATTACTTACTTGAAGTACCTACTTTTCTTTAGCAGTTGATTACGAGATACTTACATCATAAATTATCTGCATTCTTCTTTCATTATCTTGCAAATCTCGTCTTTTAATTCTTTACTATTAGAGTTTATTAAGTCCGTTCTCTATGATTTATCTTTCAATTCATGACCAGGTAATCAACTTCTGTCAACTTCAAAATCGGGTCAGCCATCATCGATAATCCGATTAGGACAATGAACATGAAAAAATTGCATATTTATTTAAAAAATAAAAAAGAAAGAAAGATTTATTGAAAATTAAAATACAATTACATTTCTTACAGTTAAGATGCTCACTAATTTGTGGAAACCAGGAGCTTAAGTAGGCGTAGGTACGCTTGTATTTCGAGTCACCAGGATTTCACCCTTTTTTATTTTTTATTTTTTTCATGCGGAAATCCCCTCTGATACCACCTGTCGGTGGCATGTCGGACTCGAACCGACTAAAACCGCACTCCGTCTCGGGTACTAATAGCCGGGGAACCAGGTATACCCTAGAAAGGAAGTCCCTGGTGACCAGGATTTCACCCTAGATACAATTTGTTTTAGTAGGATCGCTGTTAGGTAAACATTTAAAATTGATAATTTATCATTTAGTGGTATAATAACATGTGTATGTGCTGTGTGTTTGTATGTATGTGCGTGTGTGTGTATCAATCAAATCAATCAATCAAAACGGTAAGTGAAGTGTTTGGAGTCCCGGGAATGAGAACGGTCAAAGGGATTGTAGCGTCTCTTGTGTGCGAGAGCGTAGGTGGAGTGTATATCAAGAGTGAGTGTTGTTTGATAATAGTGTGTTGGATAAATAACTGTCGTACTGTTAGTGTTTTTGTTTTTTTGTGTAGTTCCATAGTAGGGTATCGAAAAATAAGAAAATATGATACTTTTAAAATTGCCCGTTGTGTATGTAAATTTGACAATTGAATGATAGCAGATTTATGTGCCCCGCCCCAAATTGTGGTGCAATAGGTCAGTAACGAAATGAGAACCTTATCTTTTTTGCAATCGATTAAAAAGGGTAGAAGAAATATACTATAACAATGTGTGGTATTCTACTAAAATACAGGTAGTGAGTTTGTTTCTCACGAAGTCTACATTATCTTCTAAAATAGTTTTATTCTATATATATTTAATTTATTTATTTCAGGATCTCCATCAAAGTACGTATAAAATATATCTAAAATATATTTAACACTGTTATTTGTTATGTGTACTCCTTTAATTACAGGAGACAACAGCATGCACATTTACAACTAATAAAATAATCATTTTGTAAGACAAAAGAGTTTAAAACAAAAAGTGCTTCGTAGTTACAATAAATGAAAAGAGAAATAAAATTAAGAAAAAAATAACACATCCATTTTGAAACAGAAACAATAATCAATATCAAGCTCACAATTTTCCTAAATGCTTTTTCAATTTAGAAAAAGACTGCCAGATGTCCATATTATGAGTCTTTTACAATCCCTACACTCCATGAATCACGTCAATTAATCGAAAACGATATGGGACATGGGACACATAGGACAACACTTTGTGTGATTAGCAAATTCTTCTTCTGAGTCTGGGTGATCTTTGTGTCTACTTCATGTATGTTTGTAAAGTCCCCCGCTATACAGGATAGGTATATTTCTAGCGCAGAAGTTGTCTTTCAAAAAAATGTATAGATAAGACAAAGCCCACAATCAATTCATAAAAAAAAATATGCAATTACGTCTAATTCCTTAGTCATGCACTGTCTTAATTATATGGATTGATATTACTCATTTTATCATTAATTTTTGTTGGTTGATTCGTAATTATAGCTTTGAGGTTTAATAAAAACAATTCTAAGTTTATGGATTAAAATAAAAAAAGGGTCACATCAACAGCCTATAATAGTCCACTGTTGGACATAGACCTCTCCTTAGAAAGGAGGTTTTGGCTTACTATACCTCGTTGGCCAGATGGGTTGGTATAAGGTTTGTTTCAAGTTTTATTTCTCATTGCAGTGCTGTTGTTCTGGGTAGTTTTCTCTCTTAGTCGCCTCTTACGAAACCGACAGGATGAACTGGGGTGGTGACATTCCGTATTCTTAATCCGTCACCACACGGACTTGAAAAATGGTCTAGAGTCACTTAAAGCTAAAGCGGGCTCGAATAGACGGTATTCCACACAGTGGTCTACCGAAGTAAATTCACTCCTTAGACCTGTATTTAACTAAGCTCGAGCGGTAAAAAAAAATAATGAGTAGGAAAATTAAATTCAAAACGCTTGACATGACATTTTATTTTCTTAAAATTATTAATCACACTTGAAAGCAATAATATAGTCATGATCATTATTATAGCATTTAATATCTAATATTGTACTTATTGCCTAGAGAGGCGGATACAGTACTGTGACAATTATTACATCGCTGGCTCGGAAATGGTTCGATACGATCATTTTGAAGGTTGAATTTAAACCTTGCCAGGTTGCTACTATTGTTTCCTATGTTACTCACTGATAATGTAGCTTTCCATTGGTGAAACAATTTTTGAAATCGATTTAGTGGTTTGGGCTTGAAACCGTAACACACAAACAAAACAAAAAGTTTCATATAAATAACTAGCTACACTACCAGGCATCGCTGTATCACATTGTAGTTTCATTCATGAGAAAAAAGGAATAAAACTAACTTTTTTAGTTTCAGATTATACAGATATACTGTAGGTAGTTTCATAGCAAAACTATCATTATTTCGGAATGTTAATACGCTCCATGACCGGTAGTGACACCACGCGGTTCACCGCGGTCGCATCTTTCTGCTAAGACGTCATCTCGCAGAAGGAGGCGGCGGAGCGGGCCCGGGAGGGCAATCTGCACTCGGATCCAATTCACTCCATCCAATCCACTTACAAACAGGACAGTATAATATTAGGAGTTTAAGGATTTACACATATTTAAGAGATTCTGGAGATCGCACGGTAGTCGAGTTTAGACCGTTTCGAATTTCTTGTTTTATTTCATTGACCAGTATAAATTGAACTTTGTACCATTAAAGGACACAATTTATACTGGACCCCTATAGCTTTGTGAGTGTAGGCCGTTTTAACATTATTTTTAAGTCTATTATCATCATCAACAGCCTTTAGTAGTCGCCTGCTGGACATAGGCCTTAGAAAGAAGGTTTTGGCTTACTATACCACGCTAGCTAGCCAGACGCGTTGGTATAGGGTTGGTTTCAAGTTTTCCTTTTCTGCAGTGCTCTTGTCCCGCATAGTGTGCTCTCTTAATCGGCTCTTACATATTCACACTTCATATTCTTAGTCCGTCCGACACGAAATATAGATAATAGATATATAAGTATAGATGAATGTAAATATGTGATTATAATTTTAATACACAAAATTAATGCTGACTATATCGTCATAAATAGTGTCGGTTTTGAAAAAAATACGAAATTCAGTTTTTACCATATTTGGATACTAAATTGTCTAAATATTATTACTACATCCAAGAAAAAACTATATCTATTTTAGATTTTAAATTATTCAGTGTTTGTTTGATAGGCGCTCAAAGCTCAAGAAAATTGTATCATTATGAATTGTTTTTTTATTGCATTTTAAACCCTCTTTTTCACTTGTAGGCCAATTTTCATAATTGCAGACTTAGAATTAAAAAAGGTAAGTCAAAAAATTACATAATTATTTGAAATTACTGCCCTGTAAAGTTTAATAAATGTCAGATCCGACTATGACGATTTTATAGTGCATTATTAATTATTCAAATATTATAAGTCAACATTTTTGCTGCCATTGTCTTACTGTTCTGTATTCGTATTACACGTTTATTAATAGCTGTCATATATACCTATATACGGCTTAAATGTATACATAAATAGGCGGCTGTATATAGGCGTCACCTTGATTTTTGCTAGCTTTAGCGGTTCTTAGTCTATGGTATATAAAATCGGTGGTAATCTATGCCTTGCAGGTAGTATCACGCTAACGTTTGACGAACGCACTTTGAATAATTTCTTGATTACTATACTGTTTACTGAAAGCTTAAAATGAGGTATTTGGTGTCGGTTTTCGTTGTCTTCTGTTCAATCAGCTGTGTTTTGTTAAAAGAATTGCGTGAGTATTTATAATGTGTATTTTCTTAATATTATGTGTTTGTAAGCAAAGTTATTGTATAATCATAATTACTTTATTTTCCATTGTAACTTTTTATAAGTTGTTTTTTCGCTAATATTTTTTTTGTGTTTTTAAATACCTCTGTACAGGATAGTTTGTACCTACGTATTTTAGAGTTTGAATAAACTTATATAGGTAAATATTTTAGTGGATGTAATCAATTTAAAAATAAAAATAAATCTACAAATGCGTTGCGAAGCTCAAAACTCGACTATTTTTTTTTCATCTTTCGTTAGGATACAAGGAAGGTTCTTATGAAGAGAAAAGTCGTCAAAATTATGAGCAAAATAGTAAATACAAAACTTTTCTTTTCCCATACAAACCATAGAGTAAATTAAAACACCTGTCCCCGCTGTCAAACATTTAACGTGAATCAAAATAAAAGAAACGTAAAGTTTATCTTTGGTTTGCCTTCAAATTGATTAGGCTGTATGCATTAATCTATGCCTGTCCAAAATGAAGTAAAAAGAAAAGTAATCACGTTAAAATACGTTTTTTATTTTTTTATTGTTAAGAATTTAAATTTTAAACATCGCTTGTAACTTTGTTCCCTTTGTTTGATGGTATTATTATTTTTTCACTGTGCTTGCTGTGGTCTCCTGTAAGTGAAGGAGTACACCGACTTTAAACCCATTCTGTTAATTACTGTTTTTTTACTTGTGTATATCTTTCGTAGGAGATCCTAATAAATAAATAAATAAATAAATAAATATTTTTTCTATTGAAGTGCGACAGGCCAGTAATGTTTGACAGAACGAAGTCTGACGGGGCAACTACTCGTAGTATTACAAACGTACAAACATAAAAGCTTCGTACGGACTTGCGATCTCTGTCATTAAAACAAACCAGACGTAAATGTGTTATTTGTATCCGTTTCATGTATGTTTGTAAAGTCCCCTGCGACACAAGATTCATTCCTAGCGCGGGAGTTGTCTTAAAAAAAGTGTAAATAAAAATAAGATAGAGTTTTTGAAATTCGATTTACGAGTATGCTGTGATGCCAGACAATCCATAGCTTATTGGTTGCACTCTAACCAATCAAAGATGTCATAAAATAATATGATGATGGTTACTGTTATAGACGTGCCCTTTGCTATATGCTAAGACAAGTCAGACCAAATTATATTTTTTTGCAAAATATAGATGTTTAATATGCCCCTGTTTATTCCTTCCACGTATGTGTGACTGTATGAAATAAATACAGTCTTATATACAGAGTGTACGTATAATCATAGTTATATTCTATTTCTGAACATTGGTGTGTAAGATTTTATCAAAATATTATTACAGTAATTTTCAGAAATTACTGTAATAATGTTTACCTTACACACCTATGCTCATAAAGAACTATGACTTATCAGTTTCTTACAATGTTGTTCGATAAGCTACGTTATTTTCAATTATTACAAACAAAACCTTTCCAAAGTACTTATTAATTTAATACGTGTTCTCTTCCTCTTTGCTAGGAACGAATAGTGTTCAATTAACGCTTGTAATTGACCATAAATAGCACATTTTTTTGTGTACGTAAATCTATTTTCAAGAATATTTCGCGAACAGAGGAATGTGAAATTTGGAACACTTATAGTTTGTGTATAGACGAAATGCAGAACGCTAAAAGTTTTAGACAGAAATATCTGTTGATATATTGTTTATAGAACGACAAAAGTCTGGTATATTTGTTTGCCCATTATGGTACGAAAATTCTAACAACAAAAGTTCAACATATACTGGATTTTTTAGGGAATTTCGACCACTAGGCGATCTCTCTATCTAAAGATCTCTAAATTAATATGTAAAAAAAGTATGATGTGTTTTTTTTTGTTGAATATACCAACTGCTACTCAGTATACGTGATATTATTACATGTATGAGTTTAAACTTAATGGTCTAATCTATTTATAGGATTACCACGAGGTTACGTAACTAAAGTATTCTCATTGCTGAGAATTCAGCACAATACCCTTAAGTGAAATCAATGAAATGGGAAAATCATTGAATAATTAACAATCTAAACAACGATTGTTTATTTTAAATTAATTTTAAATTTGATGATAATAATAATAATAATCTTACCCACGGCTGCTAATAAACATACTTGTGTATTTCTAAATACAAACATATTATAGGTAAATTACACCCAGACAGAACAAATGATCATGTTCTCATACAATGTTTATCCAGGGTGGGAATAGAACCCACGACCTCCGGCTTAGCAGTCAAGGTCACTAACCACTAGGCCAACAAGCCCGTGAATAAAAAAGAACTAACAATAATAATAAACAACAAAAGACAACTTCAATTAATTTTCTTACTCGTTTTTCATTTTATTTCGGCTCAGCGCATTGCAAGAGGTTTTAGCTAATTTATTTTATGGCCAGCCTTACGCTAATCAGGTGGGTCAAAGGAAAATTGTAAATTAGGATAAAGGAAATGGACGGAAAAAGGGAGTTAGGATAATAAGTGCCTTAATTCTCAGATGGGAAACCAAGATTGAAACTTCAGTAGGACGAAGAGGCCAGGGCTGCGTGCCCATAATGACTGGCCTTGATTGGAAAAGGTAATGCAACTGCACGGATGGCGTAGTGGTTTAAGTGGTCATCTGGCCGCTTTCTGTAGCGCTAAGTGTTGTGGGTTCCATCTCCACTTGGGACATCACCTTATGTGATCCACAAATTCTTGTCCTGAATTTGGGATTTTTTTTGTGTCCGTTTCATGTATGTTTGTGAAGTCAATGGTTTGAAGCATTTCTTGCACATCTTGTATTATGCTATATCAACACAGACTTCTATTGAAGTACTTGTGCATATAAGTCAAGCACGTGACCTTTTGTTAGCATTCGTTAGATGAAATTAAAATATTTATTTCAAGCGACCTTGTCATTGAAACTATACTTCAAGTGATTAATATGGAGACTGGATACCGACGGCTCACTAACAAGTGACATACCTAGGAATACTTTAGAATAGACATCATCAAGCTTTGCTGAAGATTAAAAAACTAGTATCTTAGATTCCTAACATTACGAAGTGTTTGTGCACTTTAAATATTTATGTTTTTTTTTTGTATAAAACTATTTGGTTACTTTGGTTAGAGCGCTGACTACTTCACAAAATTCGTTATTGACGTAAACCAATTCTACAAAATATTAAACAAATAAGTCCATTATTCAATATTTATTGAAAATAAATAGAGGACTAAATGTGGCATGTGTCATACGAGCGTGTCTCAGGGCTTAAAATTTGGTCCCTGTATTTATTTTACAATACTATGAATTCAACATTATATGACTGACTATTTCAAATTATTGTGATTTCCAAAAACAGTGAGTTAACGAATGAGCGAGTCATGATATTAACAATTTTGAGAGGTATAGTTGCGTCCGAATCCTGTAGAGCTTTGTTCAAAAACAACCGCAGAATCGTGTCAAATAATAATTATACCTATCTGCAAGGAAAAGGAACGGTACTAACGCGGTGTTATAGTGATATCAATAATAAACAAGTAAAAATGCATACATTTCATTATATTCCAACAAAGCATGAACGTTTTCATAAACTGTTTTTGCAAGGGGTACTTATAAAAAAATTATGGCTGAATATGAATAAAAATCTCACGAGAAACAGAAAACCATTTTTTATTCTTTTATCCTTTTTTAAATATAGTTAAAATGTTATATCGTGGATTCCTTATTTCTTCAACATACCGTATTCGGCATACATAATAATTCAATTTGATTAATTACTCTATGAATGTAGCGATCTTCCAGATACCAAACTAATGTTAAACTAAACAGATATTAAACTAAAAAAACAATGGTTGCAGTATAATGTTTAAATATTAACAAAAAATGTAGCCTTCATTCTTAAAGTCTGCTGCGGTCGTAAAACTACACACATCGATATTCTACATAATACGGTAAAGCAAATTGCTATCACGAATGACCTCGTTAGATAAATAATTCTATATCAATATGTTTGATATTTTACAACAAAAGTTGTTTGCGATATTTTCTAGGAAGCCACTGGTCTAGATATATCACAAAAGCGACCTGCTATCTCTACTGGTTAATAATGGACTTCAAGACAAGAAGGAGTTCTCTATTCTGCTGTATTTTTTGTATAACCTCAGAAGTCTGTGATATATAAACCGATTTGAAAAAAAACTGCAAAAGATACTTACTTGATTTATTGATAAAATTATAAATGAAATTAGAAATGCCAGGGACCTAAACATGTTCATACTAAGAAGCGATCAATTTGCTCTTTATTTTAGATTTGTTTTATCATAATCTGTAGTATCAGTAGTCTAATTCTGTATTTATGTTATGTCATCGTCAGGATGTTGCTACATGATGTCTTAAAAAGGTTTTTGCGTCATAACCTTGACGATGTAAGGTTTTTTGTCTGGATCTTTTAGTCCTTGAAACTTTACCTATTGTAGCATTCCGTAAAGTATTTTTTCATGGAATAGGGGGCAAACGAGCAGACGGGTCACCTGATGTAAAGCGACTACCGCCGCCCATGAACTACTCTAATTAGTGAACATCACTCGTACATTGCTGTGTGGGACATCCACATGTTATATTACAGTTTGTTTCGGTTGTGTGTACCAGTAATAAGCCATTTGCTTTTATGATATAAGTAACAGACGAAGTTAATATTCAAATCACTATTTATGTGGTAGCGACTAACTAATATCGGATGGGTAGCAAGAAGAATAGAACCTCACGGAATAATGAGAAGTCGTTTGCAGTAATTTGTGGTTTACTCATAGCAATCAAAACAGCTATTGTCCCTTAAGTGCATTTATATGCATTGTAATTTTCACGTTTGTTGCTCCTTTGATGGAAAATGCACTAGTGTGTCTTTAAATGGAAGTAGCAGTGATACCCCGTTATGCCTACGACGACATTTAGTCACAAGTTCAAACGTATGTTATTGAATCTAGCGTATTGCATATTGTTTACTGATGTGCTGTCTTTGTATTATATTGATTGTATTACAAACAAAAGGTTAATTTATCAAAATATAAGTTTTATTTAGCTGAAATACTTACAGGTATGTATAGACATCTTCGCTAATACTTACTGATTTGCACAATTTGCAAACTTTTTCTTGTACAATTTTTAGAAAGGTTTGTACACACCAAACTATTTGTAAATCTGTTTTCTACTTAGGATAAATAATTATGTATAAGCACAATCAGTTATTCTGTGCCTGGATATAATTTACGTTGGGTAATAGGTATGTGATATATTATTATAGTTATCAGCAGTCTGCCTAGTTTCTCATTCTCATGTCTCAATTTTTTTTTCTTTCAGCGGAATATATCCAAGTATGCAAACGGGATCCAAGTACTCTCGACGATTGCATACTCAAATCTATCGAAGCCATCAAGCCCCGAATCATTTTAGGAATCCCAGAGCTTGGCGTTCCGGCTATAGATCCATTCCTCATTCCAGAGGTAAATTTCGATATCTAATCATTTTCCAGTGCTTAAATAAATTTTATTTCGAGTCGCTGTAATGTCTAACACTGTAAAGGATTCTGATTGGTTTCTTTTTGACCAGCAGTCTGCCTGATGTTAACTAGCTTTAAGCAGTTCTTTTGCTGCTTTTGAGTCTCAAACCTAGCTCTAATTCTGGTCAGGGAAGAGGTGGGGGAAATTTAAAAGTCGACATAGCACCTGTGACTTGGTGGAAGGTGTCCAGAAGAGGTGGTAGTCATTTACCATTAGATGACTCGTCTGCTCGTTTTTCTCTCCTTGTGAATGAAATGGAAACTGCCTGAGACTGTTTAGCTCGAGTAGGCCAGAATTGCGTTCCTAAATGTCGATCCTGTAATTGAAAAAGCCAAGAAAGACGTCAACTGGTCTATTTGGCCAAGAATTAAATCTAATTTAGTAACCCAAATTCTAATGTATTACTTTTGTTATTTCAGATCAAAGCACCGACCACAGACAATCTAAATATTCGTTTTATGGCACGCGACGTGAAGGTAACTGGCGGTGGAGATTTTAAGATCAAGAGTTTATCGTAAGTTTATCTACTGTTTATTTGGTATGGAAGATATTACGGACATTGACTCATTCCGTTTCTAAAAGACTGATCGTAATTGTCCTTGTGCGGTGTCAAAATTGCATATGACTTAAGATTTGGCAGAAAATATTGATAGTCTTGTTTATTGATTCGATGATTAAATTGAAGTGCCTAATCATGCTTACCTCGACTCAATATATACTTAACAAGTAGTTTTTGCGTTGATCAGCATTTCACCAACCAGGCCATAATGTGTGCTTGACAATTTTGTAGGAGTTTATCTTCATTACATAAATTTACTTTGGTATCATAGTTGATACTGACTTACCGTATAATAAACCTAATTTGTTCATTTTATTTGTTTATTTCATCGCATTTTTAGAACTGTAAGTTAGATTTCGATCATTTATATTTTTGAAATGGATAATAATGATTTCTTTTCTTTACATTTGTACCATCACGCTACGACACTTTACGTCCATAAATCCAACGATATCAATGCCTACTCGTTTCTTTTCGACCGAAACTAACCAACCAATGACTGAATGTTTAATTAACCATAGTTTTTGTTAAGATTTTTTTTTTATTCTTATCATTCCTATAATATGTTTAAATCAACTGTGCTCCTGTAAACTTTAAAGATGCGTTCTATCGATAGTTATAAGTCTTGAACATTTCCTCGTTTTTATTTTAGAGTGGACCTAGACTCACTGACGATCAAAGCCCACATTCGGTTTCCAAAACTTCACTTCGAAGGTGACTATAAAATAGACGGCCAAATACTTATTGTGCCGCTGAACGGAGAAGGAAAATTCCATTCTGATGCCGGTAAGAGAACCCATTATACCAACAACGAGTAGTAATCGGTATTTAATTTATGCAGATTTGTAATCGTTGAAGTTACAATTCTCCGCTTTTCTTACTTAGATTACAGTAACCATGTCGAACATAATATAAAATACAATAAAATTGATTGTACACCGATCACATACTCATTAAAATAAATACGCAAAATATATTTGTGCAATGAGCGAATTTATAACAAGCGCCAACTCTTACAAGAAAGGAAAGCTCAACAACTGTCAAAAATCAGCATAGGCTACTTTTTACCGCGATAACCGATATACACGTGGGCGGAGACGCTGGAAAAAGCTAGTAAAAGATAAAGGGTGGTTTTGGTGCCGGGCACGTCGTCATCGCGGCGGTAAGACCCGTTATGGAGGATTGGCTCGAGAGGCGTCACGGGACCCTCTCATACCGACTGACGCAGGTGACGCCCGAAACATCCTTTCAAAGTGATCACTGGGAAAGGATGTTTCGGGGATCACCTGTGTCTGATCCGCAAGGAGCCAACGCCTGAGTGCCGCCACTGCGATGGCTAGACCGTGGACACGGCTCTCCACACGCTGGCAGAGTGCCCGGCGTGGGTTGAGTAGAGGCGAGACCTCGTGGCGGCCATCGGAGTGGGAGTTCTTTCGCTCGATAGCCTGATTGCGGCTATCGTGCGGAGCGAGAGTGCGTGGAACTCTGCCATCTCCTTCTGCGAGCAAGTTATGCTCGCGAAGCAGAGGGTGGAGCGGGACCGGTAGAGGTTTAGGACTCTCCCGGCCCGCCAGGCACGGGAACGGGCCAGGTACCGCAGGCGACTCAGGCGCCGGAGGTCGCAGAACGACCTCCGTCCTCACTAAGCGCAGGCTAGCAGAAGCAGGCCGGGGTCTCGGCGAGCGCGTTACGAAGCGCGCTCGCTTCCAGGGAGCAGAGGGAACATGGGGTTCCCACACGGGGGAGGGGTCGTCTACCTGTTGTTGGAGATGGCCTGAGATGTGTCGGGGCACCAGGGACTTCCTTTCTAGGGTGTACCTGGTTTCCCGGCTATTAGTACCCGAGACGGCGTGCGGTTTTAGTCGGTTCGAGTCCGACATGCCACCGATAGGTGGTATCCGAGGGGAATTTCGCACGGAAAAAAAAAGGGTGGTTTTGGTGCAAGATTGAATGAAAAACAAGTAATATAAATATACATAGAGTGAGTGGCCTGATGGTCTAGTGGTGAGTGACCATGACTGCTTCGCCAGAGGTCGTGGGTTCGATTCTCACCCAGGACAAGTAATTGTATGATGAGCATGCTCATTTGTTCTGTATCTGGGTTTACTTTATCTATAGTATGTATGTATTTAGAAATATATAAGTATGTTTATCAGCAGTCTGGTTACCATAGTTCGGGCTGTGCCTAGTTTGGGATGAGACAACCATGTGTGAAAATATAATAAATATTGTTATTATTATTATTATACATGAATCACTCTTTCTAGATTCTGTATCTTTACCGTGGAAGTGAAAATCTTTGGCACAAATGGGCAGCCAGACTGATACTACGTCCTCACAGTAAACCTTTTTTTTTCGCGAGGGACTTTACAAACATTCATTAAACGGACACAAAGAACACTCAGACTCAGAACAATTTGTGGATCACACAAAGTGTTGTCCTATGTGGGGATCAAACCCACAAAACAGTGGTGAGGTGACCGTTTAAACTTCTACGTCATTCGTGCAGACACGGTGGCAGATGTTAAGCAATTCTTTTGCTACTTTTCACCGAATGAGTGAGCCTAAAACTCCCTTACCCCTAGGGGTAGACTCGTGCCACCACACCCTTGTGACTCTAGAGATTCAAGTGTCTAAAGGTGGCGGCTGTCGCTTACCATCAGGTGCCCGTTTAAAATTAACTAAATCTAAATATATTTTCATTTCAGTGAAATGCGACGCAGAGCTTATTTTCCGCTTACAGGTGGTTCCGCAAGATGGTGTAGACTACTTGAAGTTTAACAAGATCGATATTGATATCAACGTTAGGGACTACCGAATTAAGCTTGACGGACTCTTCAACGGCGATAAGAGCCTTGGTTTGTATCTTTGTACTTGAAATCACCTTTATCTCAGACTTCACCTTTTATTGTTTTAACGATAATATTAAGTGTGAGACAGCCATACGCATATGGGCCGGTTAGACGGAGTGATAACACAGTCGTTCTTTCGTTTTTCTTTGTATTTCTCCAAGTGAGCTAAGTTACTGGAGCCCCAACTATGCCCTCCCTTCTAATTCTAGGTGAAAGGACACTAAAAGGATGGCAAAGGTGACATCCACGTGTTCATTGGCGAAGGTAGACTCTTGTGGTGACCCGCCTGCTAGCTTATCCCTACAATACGAATTAAGTCTATTGGTTATATTTTGGTAGTACTGAGAGAAGTTTGTTAGACTTGGGAAATTCTCTTCGAATAAAATCACGCTTTAATTTGACCACAACCTTAGTAGTGTAACCTAGTTTTAGGTTAGGTTTAGCTTCTTATAATGCGAGTATTAATAGGCAGGAGTTATCATTATGTGTTGTTTTCAGGTGACGCAGCTAATGCAGCAATAAATCAAAATCGAGGGGAATTTCTTAAAGTATCGAAACCTTATTTGGAGAAAACTGTATCTAAGTTCATTTTAGACGTCGCTAACAAAGTTGTAGATGGACTTACGCTAGACCAACTGCTGCCCAAACCATAGATGTAAATACAAAACTACAATTTAAATATAAAGCTTACTGTGATTTTCTACTCGTTAGAATAGTTGGGTGACTATTTTTGCAATAAAATTCATTGATTACGAAATATAATTCATGCAAGGATTATAACACAATTTTCTAGGTTTGGTAGTGTAATGTAGAATGCCAAAGGAAATGTAAAGTATGTGTGATTAAAATAAATCAAGTTTTTGTTTATTTAAATATTTATTTTATTTTTGTTTCATTTATAATAAATACACTTTGAGGTTACTTTTTAAGAATGTAGTCTACCTGATTGTTACATCCTCTTTATGTGACAGATACTAGACTGGAGCAGTGACTCCGTGTCACATACAGATATCTAAAATTTTTGGAAACTACGACTGCTAATTTAGTGAAACAATATGTATTTAATTGACAAAAATAAAAAATAAAAATTAGCTGTACCCCACTACGCTTCGCTGTGGCAGATTTTGGTTGAATTGATGAGAAACGAGGAACAAAACAAGACCATCCTACTGAATAAAGATATTATTATTTCTAAGTTAATTGCGTGCACCTTGTAGGTCTTTTTTATCTTGTTGTAGGAAAGATTTTGTTGTCTCTGTGTCGATCTGTCTTCTAGCATTTCCCAATCCAACTCTACTGGACTGCGTAACCACCATAAATTTCTTGTGGAATTGGAGAAGAGATCATTAGGTATCTTATAAGTATAAGATACCTCAATGCAACGAATTATATTTCTACAGGAAACAATGACGAAATAAAATTAAACGTAATGTATGTTCACTATGTGTTTTTAATAAAAGTTAATTAAAATTACATTATAACGGTCTAACTATTCTTATTCGTGATGTTCATCAAAAAATACGCTGCTATTACCCTAATGATGACCCTTATGTAGTACCACCGCTGTTACTGAGACTAGTCATCACTTTTGGTGGCAACACTTGTTCCTGCAGCGGCATCAGAGCCTCTAGCAGCACCATTAGAATCTGCACCTGCTGCGCCATCCTTACTTGTCCCTCCTGAACTGGATCCTGTTGCAACACCATCGCTAGTACTGGGACTAGTATAATCATCACTTTTGGTGGCAGCACTTGTTCCTGAAGCGGAAGCGGCATCAGAGCCTGTAGCAGCACCATTAGAGTCTGCACCTGCTGCGCCATCCTTATTTGTTACTCCTGAACTGGATCCTGTTGCAACACCATCGCTAGTACTGTGGCTAGTGCCATCATCACTTTTGGTGTCAGCACTTGTTCCTGCAGCGGAAGCGGCATCAGAGCCTGTAGCAGCACCAATAGAGTCTGCACCTGCTGCGCCATCCTTATTTGTCACTCCTGAACTAGATCCTGTTGCAACACCATCGCTAGTACTGGGGCTAGTGCCATCATCACTTTTGGTGTCAGCACTTGTTCCTGCAGCGGAAGCGGCATCAGAGCCTGTAGCAGCACCATTAGAGTCTGCACCTGCTGCGCCATCCTCATTTGTCACTCCTGAACTGGATCCTGTTGCAACACCATCGCTAGTACTGGGACTAGTACCATCATCACTTTTGGTGTCAGCACTTGTTCCTGCAGCGGAAGCGGCATCAGAGCCTGTAGCAGCACCAATAGAGTCTGCACCTGCTGCGCCATCCTTACTTGTCACTCCTGAACTGGATCCTGTTGCAACACCATCGCTAGTACTGGGACTAGTACCATCATCACTTTTGGTGTCAGCACTTGTTCCTGCAGCGGAAGCGGCATCAGAGCCTGTAGCAGCACCGTTAGAGTCTGCACCTGCTGCGCCATCCTCATTTGTCACTCCTGAACTGGATCCTGTTGCAACACCATCGCTAGTACTGGGACTAGTACCATCATCACTTTTGGTAGCTGCACTTGTTCCTGCAGCGGAAGCGGCATCAGAGCCTGTAGCAGCACCATTAGAGTCTGCACCTGCTACGCCATCCTTACTTGTCACTCCTGAACTGGATCCTGTTGCAACACCATCGCTAGTACTGGGACTAGTACCATCATCACTTTTGGTGGCAGCACTTGTTCCTGCAGCGGAAGCGGCATCAGAGCCTGTAGCAGCACCATTAGAGTCTAAACCTGCTGCGCCATCCTCACTTGTCACTCCTGAACTGGATCCTGTTGCAACACCATCGCTAGTACTGGGACTAGTACCATCATCACTTTTAGTCGCAGCACCTGTTTCTGCTGCAGCAGCAGTGGCATCAGGGCCTGTGGCGGCTCCTTCACTTGTCATTTCTGGACTGGATTCTTTTGCAACATCATCGCTATTACCGGGACTAGTACCATCATCACTTTTAGTGGCAGCACTTGTTCCTGCAGTGGCATCGCCATTAGAGTCAGAAGTTGTAGGTACAGCTTGACAGCCTGGTGCAGAGCCGTTGTGCTTTGATGTAATTGTACCGCTAGGGTCATTGGTAAGGGGGATTTTACTTCCACTTTTTGAATTATTATTATCACATTTATTACGTTTCAGTTCTAAAATCAAGTTAATAGTGGTTTTACATGGTGGGTTGTAATTCTGATCGGGAGAGTTATTGCGTCGCGCCCTGCTATCAATCAAACCCTTGGTTGGTGTATTAGATATTATGATGTTATTAAACTCAAGTCTTCCATGGCCTACATTTCTTCGTCTATTGTTATTGCGTAAAGAGAATGGTGTTGGATATTTTTCCACATATGTGTTTGGCAGTACTAACTTTATAAGCGCCGTTGGATGACTGACTGGTGCTGTTTTGTAAATATCCAACTAAAAAAAAGTTTTTATAAGATATATGTATTTAATTTTATAAGTGTAAGAACAACAAGTTAAACTTTCTTTTTTAGTGCTAGAAAACAAGACTAATTAGTAAATACTGTGGCATAGTTCTTCTAAAATTATTAATGTATTCACAGGTGGCCGATAGTATTTTTTTTTAAATGTAAATGTTAAAGCGCCTATGCAATTAGCGTTGGCAATAATACGAATGCACGGCAGTTACTTGAAGGTTTAAATACGTAGTTGTCATTCACTCTCTTCAATCGGTACTGTTCTGCCATTATAAGTTTTACCACATTCTTGTTTTCTATTTAAAAAAAACCTAGATTTTGCCTGTGAATATATCGGTTAGTAAATAGTAGCCTATGTTAATCGCTGATAATGTAGCTTTCCATTAGAGAAATAATGTTTTAAATCGGTTTAGTTGTTTAGACGTGAAAGCGTAACAAACAAATCAAACAAACTCACTTTCACATTAATATTATTCACAAATAATTATGTAAATTAACGACAAAATCTAAATAAGTGTGCAAATAATAGCTTACCTGTAACACTCCTAAGTATAATGCCAATATAAAGACTTGATAGGAACCCATATTGCTTGAGTTTTAATAGTGTTGAAATATCAACCCTACCTTATATATATTCGAGTGTTCACTGATAGCGTTAATTGACGTATTCCTCATACCTACTGCTATTGTTGGTCCTATAGCTGAAGATGAGCACGTAGCGCGGAATATTGTATGCGATAAACGCGATCAGGTGTCAACTCTTACGAGTTCCGAGTAATCATCCGTTTACGTGATGACGTTTAGTGTTTGCTATTTTGAATACCGATAGGGTGAGTGTGTTGGAACGTGAGTTTTAACAAATGATTTAGAGTAAACTTTATTTGGCGGAAACGTTATTTATTGTGAGTTAACTTTATGATGCTTTAAATAGATGAATGTCAAAATGTAATAAATAAAAATCCTACTATGAAATGACTTTGCAAGAGTCAACAATACAATAAAATGTGCAAAACTGACTAAATAAGCTAGAGTTTTTCAGATTTAATTTGTTGGTAAAAGAATTAACAGTTAAGAGATTTATTCATCTAGATCTTTAAATGATTGATTTTTGTTCCTATTTCTATGACTAAAAGAAACTATGAGAAAAAGTTACTGTGTTGTACATTGTATTCTATAATGGGTATGAGATGTGTTAAGATAAATTTATTTACGTTGAATGTAATACATTTGTGCTGTTTCTAGGTGTATTTTATGTAAATACGTATGTATATATTTAGAGATATTTAAGTTTGTTTATAAACTGGTTACCACAGTACAGGCTCTGCATAGTTTGGGTTCAGATGGTCGTGATGGCCATTGTTTTTCAATGATACGTCGTATCGTCAAACGCAGCCGTGTCGTAACACGGGGCGATGTCGTATCGTGTTTATGTGTCAAAGCCCTTGTATATTGGGAAATATAATACTAACATGTGGCCAGTGCGATAACTCTTAAAAACAACTTTAACACTATAGACTGCTGCAGTGCTTGTAGCTTTACAAAAACGACAATGGTATCGTTACAATTATAAACATTTATGATATCTATACAAATAAATAAAATTGGAGTGTCTGTTTGTAATATTAAAATAACCGCTTTTTACTAAATGCATATGTATGTTTACACGGTACATATGCCAAAATAACATTTTTTACAATTTTTGTCTGTCTGTCTATCTGTCTGTCTGTCTGTTTGTTCCGGGTAATCTCTGGAACGCCTGGACCGATTTCGGCCGGACTTTCACTGGCAGATAGCTGATGACATAAGGAGTAACTTAGACTACTTTTTTTTAGACTAGCTTCGCCCCGCGGCGTTGCCCGCGGTTATATCAACAAACCCGGTTAACACCGCGGGTCTCAGCTAGTAAGTAATATAATAAATCAGACATCTGACACACAACGCCATCTAGTTTCAAACTAAGCAGAGCTTGTGCTATGAAAGCTAGATTAGCTGATACTATACTATACTTAAATACTTTTTTTTTGTAAATATATACATATTTTACATAGAAAACACCCAAACTCCGAACCAAATATTTGCAGATCATACAAACATTTGGTCCGACCCGGGAATCGAACCCGAGACCTCAACATAGCAGTCGCTTACGCTACCACTGCACCGACGCAGTCATTCAACTTTATTACTTCATTATTATTAACTTAGTAACAATACAAATAGCA